CCTAGGCTTTTTTGCAATCGTTTGACTTCTTCTAAAAGTTCTATTCTTCGAGCCAGGACATAATTAACTCTTCCATATCTAGAAATTTCAATTAGGTAAAAAGGCAAAATTATGTAATGAAGAGACTTTAAAGAAAACTGTCAGTTAAATTTAAAACAAGCAAACAAGCAACTTGTAAAACAAACTGTAAGTAGCCAAAGAAGGGAGAAGAGCAGAAAACATAATTTACATGGAATCATAGTTGGCTGCTCTTGGGTCACTTTACACCAAAGTTACTTGTCATGTACTCTGTCCGTACATACGTTAGCAATCTGTGTGGAAAGAAAAGCCCATTTTTTCAGCTATTTTTTGTTTCCTTTATAATAAAACCTGCACAAAAAAGGAAGAGGACAGCACATTCTGATGCTAGGTCAAGAAAAGACTAAGAGGAGGCCAGCCGACTGTTTACTGTGGCGGCTTACTAGGGAGAGAAGCTGTGTATTCACAGCAGCAGCCTGGGCCGAAGGGTGCCACCGTTACCGCATCGGCAAGGCGGGCATCATGTGGCATTCATCTCTGTACCCCCAGCATCCAGCAGTGCTGGCATGTAGTTGGCACTCAAGAAATGTGTGTTGAATGGAGGATGTCTGTGCCAAGCAACTGGACTTTACTCTTTCCTGACCCTTGCTCCTATGACACACCACCTCCTGACAGCCACTGTCACTCCTTCAGAGCAGAACTTCTCTAGGGAACCTTGAAGGGACACAGCTATGGCCAAAGACACCCTGGGCGAAGCCGGCTTGCACTTTGATGAGCTGAAGAAGCTGCAGGTGTTAGACCCAGAGGTTACACAGCAGACCACAGAGCTCAAGGAAGAGTGCAAGGATTTTGTGGACAAAATTGGCCAGTTTCAGAAAATAGTTGGTGGTCTAATTGAGCTTGTTGACCAACTTGCGAAAAAAGCAGAAAATGAGAAGATGAAGGCCATTGGGGCTCGGAATTTGCTCAAATCTATAGCAAAGTAGCGGAAAGCCCAGCAACAGCAACTTCAAGCATTAATAGCAGAAAAGAAAATGCAGCTAAAAAGGTATTGAGTTGAATATGAAGCTTTGTGTAAAGTAGAAGCAGAATAAAATGAATTTATTGACCTATTTATTTTTCAGAAATAAAATGAAAATGTCATTTTTATAGCAGGAAGGCAAAAAAAGTCCCCCTCCCAACAACAACAACAAAAAAAACCCTCTACATTCCAGTGACTTGACTGGTGACCTAAGTATGTCACAAGACGGTGTGTAAGGAGCGCAGCCCCCGAAGACAGTAATGCAAGTCTGGGGGAGCTGGTATTAAACATCAGTGCCCAGCCACTGTCAGTGGCCACACAGAGCAGGTCCTCACCTCCTGCATTCTAAGTATGAACTAAGCAATCTCTAAACTTCACTCATTTTTGTAAGTTTACAATACTTTGGAAGGAAAAGCAATAAATTGTTTTCAAACAAAAAAAAAAGAAAAGAAAAGACTAACAGCATCCAGTTTACAGACTGGCACTTTGAACAGCACTGGCTTGTACTACCATAAAAGTAGACTAAATTAGTTCTCACGGCTTTGAAAATGTATTTGATCATTCTCTGTCATCTACATATCTACCTAGCATGTAGCTTGGACCCAAACTAGCAGGCTCTTATACATTTGCTAAATAAGAGTGAAAAGAGAAACTAAAGTCTGGGGACTTCTTGTCCAAAGATACATAATTAGGAGAGAAAGTCAACCCCAAAAAGAACCAGAATTAGATTCCGAAGCACAGACTTGTTTCCACAACAACAAAATGGCTCCTAAAACCCTTCATTGGTTGAAACAAAAGTAAAACAGTCTAATCACTGCTATTCACCTGTTTTAAATATAAAACAAAGGAAGAAGTCATATTCCAAACTAGGGCATAGTTCAGAGGCAGCAAGGAATGAATGACAATAAAAGAAGACACATACATGGCCTATGCTTTGAAATTTTCACCCAATAGCAGGAAACAGAAATAAACATTAGAGCATGTTATTTTTTTATCTATGCTCCAAATAATTTTTTACAATGAACACTTCCATAATGTGTAAAAAAACAGAAATGCTTGTAGAGTATGTAATAAAATGCCAGAATTCTTGTAATAAACAAGATAAACTCTTCATAGGAGAAACTGAATGCTTGAAGGAAACACTGCCTGAATATAGAAAACAAAAGCTGAGAGAGATCATGACTAGACTTTTAGGTCAAGGTACAGTCTAAATCAACTACACCAGAACTGTTTAGAATGGTTCGATTATTCACAGCTCTCTTTACATGGTGTTTCTTCAGTAAAAGAAGACAAAAACTTCTGTACACTGTTTCAAAACTCACTTCCATTTGCTCACCTGCTGAAATCTTTCTCAGTCTCTAGTTCTTCTTCTCCATGACCAAGACGGAGTAGGTGACGCTCGTCAATGTCTAAAGCCATGATCTTTTCAAACAACTGGTTCAGGGCCTGGAGAATAAAGTAGAAAGGTTAATGGTGAGTTTCAAGGATTCAGGACAAAAACAAAATAGTGCTTACATTACACTTAGCCAAATAATAACTACATACCATAAAAAACGATGTATCCATCAAACCCGACTCTAAGGTCAGGTGCAATCTCTAAAGTTTAACATTTCCTAAAATAATTTATATATTGCGTATCATTTCACTCAATAGCATTTCTAATACCTGCAAAAAACTGAAATGTTTGCAGCTAGAGAAAGTACATTAGTAGAATACATTAAGAGGACCAGAAAAAGGTGAAGTATATTATTTAAACCTTAGGTTTATAGTCTAATTCTCTATATAATGAGGAGGCCACTCATTGGTCACAAGTAGCTAGTTAGAAGTCACTTGTTTCTACCCACAAAATGGCCGTATTTAGATTTCCTCAAATCCAAGTATTCGTTATGTGAATCCTTACCATTACAAAACCTTATATAGTTTATTTATTTATTTTTTTTTCTTTTTCAGAACCGGGGATCGAACTCAGGCCTTTGCGCTTGCCAGGCAAGCACTTATTCTACTGAGCTATCTCCCCGGCCCCTCAAAACCTTATAGAAAGACAGTTTCATAGTATAACATGAGGGACAAAGATGTCATTTAAAAATTAGCTCCTTTCAAAACACTTCTCTTGGGGCCGGGGAGATGGCTCAGTGGAATAAGCGCTTCCCTGGTAAGTGCAAGGGCCTGAGGTCAATCCCCGGTTTCGCCCAAAAAAAAAAAAAAAAAAAAAAAAAAGATCAAGCAGCCTGCAGTGTTTCTAAACATAGGCAAAACACTTCTCTTCATTTATCACTAATCCCACTGTTCCCATCAAGCCAATATCCAGTTTTGTGAACATCAAATTCTGTAACTGAAATACATCCTTTGTTATTAAAATTTTATCACAATTCAGAAACTGAAGAGATTGACATAAATTTTCAGAAAATTTTCCCACTATCCTAATCTCTAGTACTCACTATACAAAACTCATGACCCAACAGATGAGATAATGTGGAATGAACAGTTATGCCAACTCAAGAAGCACACAGATTTAGAAACCAAAAATACAAATTACAATTACAGAAAAACTACAAGATTTCATTGTGAGTTAGAATAATGTTGGAGGAGTACTTCAACTATGTGTGCAAATGAAGATCTGGCAAACAAAATAAGTAACTCAAGAAGAAAAACCAACAATTTGATGAACTCCAGAAGGATGATTTGAATTTCAAAGAATCAAGTCAATCATAAGTAGAAGATACTGTATAAACTCATACCGAGGCATGACAAAACTTTGTAAAAAATACTATGTTAAAAAAACATGCAACAGATTTGTTCATTCTAAGAACTTACATATACATAGCATTATTGCAGAATAAATTTTTGCACAGAAGAAAAAATTTGCTTCTATAGTATTTCCTTTATCAAAACGAAGTCCAGGGCCAGGGAGATGGCTCAGTGGAATAAGCGCTTCCCTGATAAGCACAAGGGCCTGAGTTCAAGCCCTGGTGAAAAGAAAAGAAAAGAAAAGAAAAGAAAAGAAAAGAAAAGAAAAGAAAAGAAAGAATCCAAAGCTCAGCCTGCAGAATACTTGCTCAGAAATTTACAGAAAACACCAAACAAAAATTGCAATTTCGGGGCCAGGGAGATGGCTCAGTGGAATAAGTGCTTCCCTGGCAAGCGCAAGGGCCTGAGTTCAATCCCTGGTTCCGCAGAAAAACAAACAAACAAACAAAACAAAACAAAAAAACGAAGTCCAGGGGCCAGGGAGATGGCTCAGTAGGATAAGTGCTTGACTGGCAAAGACAAGGATCTGAGTTCAATCCCCGGTTCCGCAAAAAAAAAAAAA